AATATAAACCCTGCAGATAATTGGAATAGACAGTCTTTATCTGAACCTGATAAAAGCCATCTAAGAAAAACCAACAGCCAATATCATACTAAATGGTCAAAACCTGAAATCCTTCACATTAAAATAAGGAACAAGACAAGGATGTCCACTGTCACCACTCCTGTTCAATATAGTTTTAGAAACATTAGCCACAGCAATTAGACAAGAGAAAGAAATAAAAGGAATAAAGACAGGAAATGAAAAAAAATTGTCATTATTTGCAGATGTCATGATACTCTGTATAGAAGACCGCAAGAACTCCACCAAAAGTCTTCTAGACTTAATAACCAAATTCAGTAGAGTAGCTGGATACAAGGTCAACACACAAAAATCAATAGCCTTCCTGTACAGGAACAACAGACTCACTGAGCAACTGGAGAAACAACTCCTTTCACAACAGCCTAGCTTGTTCTTATGCTTCATTTTTATTTTTGTTATAAAAAAAACCCCTCATAATTCTTGCCATTTTAACAGTTTATTTTTTTATGGTCCTGGGGCTTGAACCCAGGCCTCGTGCATGCTAGGCAAGTGCTGTACCTCTGAGGCACTTCCCAGGCCCCATTTTATTAACAATTTTTCTGCACAGTTCAGTGATATAAGTCTTGTGATCTTTTGATGTGTCCTCATTATTCTTTAAGTATCCCCCCCCTTTTTTTTGAGATAGGATCTTACTATGTAGTCCAGGCTGGACTTGAACTCAGTATGTAGCCCAAGCTGGCCATGAACTTGAGGCCATCCTTCTGCCCCAGCCTCCTGAGTCCTGGGATTATAGACATGTGCTACCACACCCAGCACCATTTCTTACTTTTTGATATTAGGAGATATTTTAGACTCCTCCTGTACATTTCTCTGTGAGCCTTGAGCCCTAGATCACCTATTTCTCCAAGGAGCCCTCCTTCCTTTAGAGGAGAATGTTACTTAGTAACTAAGATTTGAATAGCCCAGTGCAGGCTGCTCCCAGGCTTTCTCAGGAGTTAGGGAGTGTGTGTACATATGTATACACATGCACATATGTACACCTTTATGTCTGTATATCTTTATGTATTGAAAAATCACAAAGTCAAACCACTGTCTAGTTGCTATTCAATCCCAGAGTATATGTTCCAATTTTTTCCCTTTTCATATTTGTACCTTTTTTTGAAAGTGAAAAACCTAGTTCAGTTTGTCATTAATGTATTATTTGTTTAGGCCTCTGCTCTTAATTTGTTCACACTGTGTGTGAATGCTTTTGTCGCCCTGCTTGGGCTGCAACTACCCCCACTGGGCTCCCACTTCTGCTGCCCCTTCAGGGATGCCCTTCTCACTCAGTCAGGCTCCCCTTCCATCTCCTCCATTGGATGCCTGCTTATCCTGCTCTAGTGCAGAGCCTGCCTCAGGTTGTCTCCTGGTATGGATATCCTCATTTGCTAGACTCTGACATACTTCTTTCTGGGCCAGCCCTTTCTGGGGTGATAACCCTCCTTTTCTGACTTGGCTCTGACACCATGACTCAGGCTGTTCTCTCAACCCCAGGAACATCCTCTACACTCCACTTGAACTGTGACTATTCTACTCAACCCACTCTGCAGAGACCTTAGTTGGTCTCACTTTTTTTTTTTTGGTACCGGGGATCGAACTCGGGACCTTGCGCTTGTGAGACAGGCAATGGAACCACTGAGCTAAATCCCCAGCCCGCTTGGTCTCACTTTGTGATTTTGAGGTGAATTATTCATGAAACTGAGGTATGAACAAACAAAACAAAAGCAATAATAATCCTCAAGCATAGGGGAAAACTTGATATTATTTGGTTGATTTTCTTAACTGGGGACAAGTTGGTCCTTTATTAGGTATCAGTGATGATAAATCTCATGGGTCTATTGGTGTTAGATTCAAGAAATGTTTAAAAGGAAAGACATGATTAATAAAAAAAATTTTAAAAGCAGAAGGAATGAGACTGAAGTCTAAAGAAGTCGCTGTGGGGTGTTGAGGAATGGACTCAGAGTAATAAAGGAGAAAATGCACAACATTATGAGGAACTCAGTGAAGAATAGGCCAGATGTTTGCCTCATTAATTTCTGGAGATATTAAAAAAAATTTTCTGGAGATATTGCTGTGTGATACAATAGTTGATCTTTATCATTTTGACCATAGGTCATCACACAAAGGGTGTATTATAGTTGTAGAACAGATGGTCATATGTACTTCAAACATTCACACACTAAGGCAAGAGAATAACGTCATACTTTTACAATAAGTTTTAAGTCTTCAAGGATTAACTTTTTTTCCTAGAAAACTTACTCATCCTAGAGCTCATCAGTATTTTACAATTCCAGCTAAGATGCTGTTGTAATTAAACATGTCAAAATGAAGTTATCTTCCCCTCCTATGTTCCCTAATTGAGTCTGGGTGATTTTCTAGTTATGTACTTTTCTAGGTATCCAGACTGGAAATGTCACCGTCATCTTTAATTCATCTTTTTTCCTTTTCTGCCCACCTGAGTCATATCATCACACTTCAGATAACTTAGTGACCTGCTGTGCACCTCGTCTTTATATTCCGAAGCTACCTACTTGAAGCCTTCATTCCATTTTTGTTTTTGGTGCCGGAGATTGAACTCGGGATCCTGTGCTTGTGAGGCAGGCAGCGTAACTTCATTCCTTTTTATGTGGGTTTTTGTGTTCACTTCCATTCATTTCAGTAAATATTATGGGAGTCTTCGGTGACTTTACCTTTGCTTCATCCACAGCACCTCTGTTCTAAAGGAAGCTATATTAAATGCCTCCAGAAGCTAAACTCAGGAGCGCTGGGAGGGGATTATGGTGATCAGTGCCCGCCCTAAACACACATCAAGCTGAATCTGAGGCCAGTTGTTGCCACATCCTCCACTCTTTTAAATAAAGCTGGAAATTCATGTTTTTATTTGACATTTTAAAATGTTCTCACCTCTTTTGTAGAAATTTTCCCAACAAAGAGAAGATTGGCACTGTATTTTATGCAGTGAAAGAGTAAGAAAGCCTACAGTAGGGCCAGGGATTTAGCTCAGTGGTTCCGCCACCTGCCTAGCAAGCGCAAGGTTCTGAGGTCAATCCCTGGTACCAAAAAAAAAAAGAAAAGAAAGCCTACAGTAGACAAGAGTCCAGAATCCAGACTACTTAGTATGGCCTAAAAGACCGCTTGACCTCAGGCTGCCATTCTGGTGTCAGAGGAATGTGCTAGATATGTTTTCATTTCAGATATTTACTTGGGGTAGTCCTTTACCCTGGAATCCTGTCGTGTTGGCCTCATCCCTCACTCAGTTCGTCTTTATTGGCTTTCTAGTCTGCATTTCCAATGACAGTATGTTGTGCCTCTGTCATAAAGTTTTATCACTTTGACAAGATGTAACTATCTTACTTAATTTGCATTTGTTATGTTTATAGATTTTCATGGGTTGGACCTATTTTCTTTTTATTATTAATAAATTTTATTTTATACTGTTCTCCCTCCAGCTCTCTTCCCTCCCTATGTACAAAAGCTTTGTTTCCAATTTTTCCTTCTATTTTCACTTTTTTCTTGTCCCTCTTTACTTTCTTCCTCCTGCCTCCCTTTCTTCCCCTTCCCATTTGAACACTTTCTTCCCATTTCCCAACATCCATTACACATATCAGTCCTATCCCCCACCAGAGAAACAATGCAGTATTTAAACATGTGTGTCCGATTTATTTCACTAGAGTATGTGGACCTATTTTCATGAGACTGGGGCCTCCTTGAGGACAAGGGCCTGCACCTCACACTGTACCAGGCATCTAACATAAACCTTGATAGGAGAATAGTAGTTCCATAGTAACTGAGCAGCTGAGTGAAGGCCAAGTTGACACTCAGCTGGGTGTTGTGGAGAAACAGTAGTTTTCATAGCTAGTCTTCATATCTCTGTCCACTTTGAATCCATTCTATGTATATTTTCTGGTGCAAATTTGCTGGATGGTTTTTGTACTTGTTATTTATTTGTTCAAACAGTATCTGTGGATTGCCATTGCCTAAAGAATAAAGTCCATGATTCGTACTGTGATCTTCCATAGCTTGGCGTTCAATCCCTCTTTTAGTTCATCTCTCACTATTCTTTATTTTGTTTTGTTTTTTGCTTTTTTTTGGTGCTGAGGATTGAACCCAGAGCCTTTCTTATGGCAAGCACATGTTCTATCACTGTATACCCCTAGCCTCAGTATTCCTTGTTTGCTCCTCGCTTCTAGCTAAATCTGATCACTCATTTGTGAATCTGAGTACCCTTCAAGCTCAGCTCAGAGTTGCCTCTTTGTTGAGCTATCCCTTAAGGCCTAAAATGGAGGAAATGGTGTTCTCCTGTCTGATCCTAGCAGTGTCTTGCTTAAGTGAATATTAAAACATGTCTTTTGCTGACTGGAGCAAGGATCTTACATTCAGTACTTTGCATAATAGTAGGTAAATACATGTTTTTGTAAAAATTAAGGCTGTTCATATAGGATGTACATTAATTTCATAATTGCAAAGCTAATTTCAAAACAAGTAATTCCAATGCCCAGGAAATAATGTGGTACCTATACCAAGATTTCACTAGTACCAGTGAAATTAAGGCTATTTAAAAACTTTTTCTGGCTAGTAGTCTGTGTTAAAAATATTTAGATAATGGCCGTGTGTTATTTTTATAGTGGAAAAAATGATTAAATTGAATAATTTTTTATCTTTTAAGCTTTCGTTAGTTAAATGAAACCTTTTCGAGTATACTAAATAGTATTGTTTAACTATTGTATTAACTCTGCATTCACTTGTTGCTGAAGGCTAAAAATGCCCAGAGATAAAGATTAGAATTATAATAAAATCATTATTTGGTCAAATATAATTAGGACAAATAGCCTCTGTAAATGTATATTTTATATAAAATGAAGTAGCATTATTTATTTTAGCTCTTAACTCATGCTTTAAAGCAATATGAAATTAAATAATTTTAAATATTTCCTTTCTTTTAGGAATCAAGGAAGGACTGAGGTAAGATTATATGAAAATTTTTTTTAAAATGCAAGATTGTTTTACTTTTCATTGCTCATAGTTAAGAGAAGGTATTGTTTACATTCTGGACAACTCCACATTAAATGAATGGCTGATGGTCAGGAACACTTAAAGGTATAAATGCCACCCTTGTTTAATAGATTCTTTTCTAGATTATTTTTTAACATTTTTCTTCTTTGACTGAATATCCCTTCTTTCAGTACTATAAAACTGCGTATGATTTCAGTAATATTTTAGCATTGCTTCATGTAATGCAAAGGCATTTATTTGATTTGAATTTTTTGAGGCCTTTAGATTTTGACCTAGTGAGCTTAGTTTTTAATGTACAGTACCTAGCACATAATAGAGTGCTATTTAATATATATGATGATCTTTCTACATGATTGGGAGATCAGTAATTTTATGTCTATAAATTTCTTTAATATAAAATGTGGTGTTCCTTTGTGGAGATCTGGTATATATAGTAAAAGCCATTTTTTTTTCTTGGTACTGGGGATCAAACTCAGGACCTTGTACTTGCGAGTCAGGCGCAGCGCCACTGAGCTAAATCCCTGACCCAATAAAACCATTTTGAAAGGGCGTCTATTGTCTTTTTATTCTAAGCCTTATTATTGAGTTACCCTTATAAATATTTAGTTGTATTTGTTAGAATATTCAAAAATAAAACCTTATCATGTACTCACGCAGTATCATTAAGAACAAAAAAAGAATGTATCCTGTGTATGCAAGTAAACTTTTCAGAGTAAATGTATCACTTTTTATCCCTTACAAGTACAATCTATTTCTCTATATTCTTAAAATAGTCACTCATTTGGCAAGGACGAGTATTAAGGAATTTTTATGAGGTTTAAAAAATGCTTAGTAAAATGACTAGTTAAAGATTGACATTTTAAAACATTATTTGATTTATAATCAGAATTGTACAGGTACTTTGAATATAAATGTCTATTGTAATAAGCTCTGGTTAATGTCTGTTAGGTGTCATTTACTTTGAATGAGGATCTTGCAAATATTCATGATATTGGCGGAAAGCCAGCTTCAGTCAGCGCTCCTAGGGAACATCCATTCGTCTTGCAAAGTGTTGGAGGACAGACCTTAACAGTATTTACTGAAAGCTCATCAGGTTAGTGAGAATGGAATTATTTAATAGGATTCCTGTACATGTTATATAGATTTGTTCTCTCAACATACATTCCTATTTGCTTAAATTCATTACCATCTCTTTTTATTCCATCTCTTTTTCTAGTATCATGCTACTTCTCTGGTTTATATTTTGTTGTGATTAATGAAATTTTGGCCATTGCCTGAGAAGGGTTTAATTTTCCTTTGGGGAGTGAACATATAGAACAAAGCAGATGGAAGAATGTGGTACATCAAACTGCCTTCTAAGATGTTGGAGAAACAACATTCTGAGTTTTGCCAGGATAAGGTCATCCTTGCTTGTTTTGTTAAATTGATATTCAGCAAGTAAAAATTGTACTGTAAAAATACTGCTGGTATTGGGGGATATTTTAGTCTGAATTTTATGCTTCTATCCTTTGATACCAAGAAGGCCTTTTTATTGCATGGTGATTAACTTTTAGCCAGGTGTGATGTTGCCTACTTGTCATCCCAGCTACTTGGGAGTCTGAGCCAGGAGGATCACAAGTTTGAGGCCAGCCTGGGCAACTTAGCAAGACCCTATTTCAAAATTTACAAAATAAATGAAAAGGGCTTGGAATGTAGCTCAGTGGTCCTTGAGATCCCCAGTGTCCCCTCCCACCACCATCACCAAATTAACTTTTAATTGATAAGGGTTTCCAAGAAGTTTTGTGTGTAGTTTTAAAATTGTATGTGTGATAGCAATGGGTGTTCTATCACCTAGGGACATAGTCCCTAGCAGTGAGATACTCTTAACAGTTCATTTAATCAGGAGCAACTAATTCACTTTGTAAATTAGAGGGGAAATTTTCTCAGGTGTTCAAGCATGATTATTTATTTTCATTGTTTCTTGGGTTTTATCTTTCACTGAATTGAAAACATTATTGTAACAGCAGCTGTCTTCAGTTTATGGAACTAATTTCTCATATCTAATTTAAAATATTATTTGGTTGTATAAAAAAACTTTGATTTTTTTCTTGTATCTTAAGCGTTCAAAGAACACTGTTAGAAATTATAGTATGTTGGGCCGGGGATTTAGCTCAGTGGTTTCGCTGCCTTCTGCGCAAGCACAAGGACCCGCGTTCGATCCCGGTACCAAAAAAAAGTAAATAAATTAAAAAAAAAAAAGAAATTATAGTATGTTAAGAGCATCATTTTTTTTAAAGCATCATTATTTTTAAAGATATATATACTCGATAAAATTTTCATGGTATCGGGCTGGGGATTTAGCTCAGTGGTTCCACTGCCTGCCTTGCAAGTGCAAGAACCCGAGTTTGATCCCCGGTACCAAAAAAAAAAAAAAAAAAAAAATTTCGTGGTATCTTGGATTACCAGTACTGCATAAACTGACCTAAAACATCAGATTTTTTTTCCTTAATGTAGAATTTAACAAAATAGGAACATAATTTTTTGGTCATGTGTTCCAGGGTAAAGGATTGATTTCTCTGAAGTGGAAAATGTTAAAGTAACAATATCTTCAACATATACATTTTATACTTGAGAAAATTCAACATTCAACAACTATTGTATGCTACATTGTTCTGGGGATAGTAGAGGTGTATCTAAGCAGTTTGAAATTTGTCTTTTAGATTTAGAAAGCTAAGATGTTATCTTCATGATTAACCTTAGTTTTTATAATTGAAATAGTTTATTGGTGTGTTCTATTTGAACATTTGGTGTTTCCATTTCTGGTTATAGTGTACTCTTGAGTGAATATGGTCTTTTAAGGATTATCTTGGCAGAGTATGGAAAAGGATCAAGATAGTCATCTTTATTCTGGAGTTGGACAGTTTGTTCTTGATTTTGTTCAACTGAAGAATTTTTTTGTAGAACAGAAACTTTGTAGATCAGAATGTTTCTGCTTCTTAGCTTCATTAATTATTTCTGTCACACCATTGCTCCTTTGTACTTTTTTGTTCTTTAATTTCCTCATTGATAGCTGGGCATGGTGGCACACACCTGTTATTCTAGCTTCTTGGGAGACTGAGGCAGGAGGATTGAAAGTTTGAGGCCAGCTTGGGCAAGTTAGCAAGACACTATCTCAAAAAACAAAAAATGGTACAATTTCCTCATTTGTGAAATGAGAATAGTAATTACTTGTATTTGTATTAAATATGAATATATTTAAAATACTTAGAACAGTACTCAGTACATGATACATGATCAAAAAATAAAGGCTGTTATTATTACCTCTTATTTTTATACACTTTGAAGTTTACTTTGTAAGTCATATATATGCATTTTGTCTCAGTCTGGTTGGATTTTTTTGGGGGGAGGATTGAACTCAGAACTTTGTGCTTGCAAGGCAGGCATGGTGCCACTGAGCTAAATCTCCCGGCTGAGTATAGATTTTTATATTATATGTTTCTTGATTGCCTGGATGACCAAGACAAAAGTTCTAGAGTTGTTAATAGTTTATCTCCTTGTCTGTTGAGTCTTAGGTATTTACCATTTCTCGTTATTAAAGTAGCAGTTCTACAGGTGGGTTCCTTGGATCACTAGGAAGTCATAAATAAATGGCAGCGGCTCTTAAACTGCTACATCTGTGTTGTATATATGCATGCTTTTATAGGGAGTAAGTCATTTATTTAACATTGAAATATAAATAGGCATTATTTTGAGCAGGTTTACATTTTCCCTTAAGTTTAGAACTGTACCTGCTTATTATAAAATTACTTTTCTAAGCTATTTCTTTTTAATTGTGCACAAATTAAAATGAATTTTTTAAAGAAAAATTAAAACCGCATTTGAGTTCAGTATGTTTATAGTTTTAGTTTTAATAGCTTTATTCCTTCTGTTAATATAGGTTTTTTTTTTTTGGTACCGGGGATTGAACTCGGGTCCTTGCACTTGCACAGCAGGCGGCGGAACCACTGAGCTAAATCCCTGGCCCCTGTTAATATAGTTTTAATGTAGTTTTGTAGGCTTTTCAGAAATGTTTTCTGAGCCCATTTTTCTCCTGGTTGAGTTCTGCATATTTGGAATTGAGGGGCTAGAATTAGAGGGGACTGTTGATATGCTTTACAATGTTTTCCCTTTAAGCAAAACAATCTGCATATCATTAACATTTCATGAACTCAATTACTTTGTTTCTACTTGAGTATTCTTATCTGAAAGAATATATTTTATTTTTATGGCTATTTTGGGTTAGCCCTTCTTCCACTTCTGTATTTCTCTGTGAAATCCAGAAGATCTGTTTCTCTATTAAATATTTTCTGCGAATCTCTATTATCTATTACCTCTGACTTTGGAAATGCTTCATGTGTTTCTCCTTTATTTCCCCTTCCAGGATGGATATTCAGGTTAGTATTTTTGTCTGTTATTTGTTGGTAACTATATAATTCCAATTTTTTCTGTCTTTGCCATCCCAATTTTTATTCAAACTTAGATTTTTGTCTTTATAACTGCCAGTTCTCAATAAAAGTGTTCATCTGTTCATCACAGGTTTTTGTACCAGACCCTGTGCTGGAATAGGACTAGAACAGTGATGCCGAACCTTTTGGAGACGAAGTTCCAGACTGCAACCCAAAACCCACTTATTTATCACAAAGTACCAATACTGCAATTAAACCTGAATACTGAGGTTTTAGTTTAGAAAAAGACAACCCTACATTAACATCTTTTGTCTTAAAAACACAATAACACATGTGCCATAAGTTTGCCACCACTTACTAGAATCTGTCCAGTGGGGCAATTGATATGTCAAAAAGTAATTGCTACAGTAAGTGCTCAGATGAAATCGTGCCCAGAGAGGAAAAAAGAGTGAGCACTTTGCCTGAAAGAAATGGAAAAAGCTTCAAAATTGGAGATACTTGGAGCTGACCTTGAAGTGTGTGAATAAGAGTGCATGAACAGGAGGAAAGAAAGATAAAATTCATTTTTTTCTAGTCTTCAGGTAACCTATTTTTCAATCTGCTTTTTCCTGCTTGCAGACCTGTCTGAAATAAATTAAATAGTCCTAATTAGAGCAAATCAAAAAAGGTTAGTTGTGGACTTCATCGTCTAATCTAGAGATGAAGAAAATTCGAACTGGTGTGATAGGAGTAGGAAAAAAGGCTCATGTTTTAGATATAGCATGTAATTTTGTCATCTTTTGATGATGAATTGGAAGTGAGAAGTTTAGAATGGTTTCCAGGCTTTTTGAGCAGGAATGTCTGGATGGCTGGTGAGACCATGATTGAGTTAGGATATACTGGGAGAAATGGGCAGGGTGAGAACTGACAGAAACACAGCGAATGTTTTGCTTTTAGTTTTGTCTCTGATCTCTTTGTAGCAGTTCATTAAACAAATTGATATTTTTTCCTGCTTTTGGGCTTGGAATACTTCAGTGAACAAAAATCTAAGCTTTTGTAGCACTTGTGTTTTTATTTTGTTTGTATGATTTTGTATTTGTAAAGGAGACAGCAGCAAATGATAAACAGAAGTAAATTAACACCACAGTCTAGAAGGTGAAAAGTTCACTGAGGAAAGAATGGCAAGTGGGATCCGGAGCACAGTACTAGAATGAGGGTGGGGCTTGGACTGTTTTAAGCAAAGTAATCAGGATGGAGACCTATTGCGAATGTGGCAACGTAGTTATGTGGAGGCAGAGTAGCTATATGGAGTTAGTTAGCCAGGTAGTTTTCAAGACAGAGAGGGAACAGTAACGACAATTGCCCTAGGGTGGCAGCAAGCCTGATTTGTTCTAGGAATAGCAAGGTCAATGAGGGTGAGGTGGATGAGGAGGGCATAGGAGTAGGCTTTTAGGCTGGAGGGAAGGGGATTGTGCCTAGTGGGTCATGAAGGAATTTATAGAAGCATTGTAAAGATTTGGGATTTTACTCAGTGAAATAGGAAGGAGGGGGTGGAGTAGGAAAAGAAGGCCATTATTGTATAGTGGAGATTTGACAGAGGCCTGGACCAGAGTGGTAGCATTGAGAAAGTAACCTCACCTAATATGATAGTCCTGTGTCTTTAGTAATCTTAATAAACAATCCATTGGGA